TAACAAAGTCCCTGCAGAGCTATGTAATATTAGGCCAGCTTCAATCTAATGAATTGTTTAGGAAATATTTGTTTATATCTTTGCCTCATTTGTCGCTTGTACTGACCCTTAAAATAGTTAGGTCATAAGAAGATTCCCACCCCAATTACAGCCTCAAGACAAACTCTTATTGTAGCCTAGGTCTCACTCTCCTCAGACCCCTAGGTCCACCATCCCTGCTATCTGCCAGCCTACTCACCACGGCAACCTAAGCTTGGTCCCATTAAAATTAAACCTACACTCTTGTTAGCACAAGTCCTGCTCTCTTGATAGCTCAAACCCTACCATCTCTTTAGTACAAACCCCACCCTCTACTCAGCACAAAAACCCCAACCCCTCCACAGTATTACGCATTTAATTCTAGGGAGATGTTCGATCCTATCTATTATTTACTCTGCTTAAAAGCTGCTTCAGTGACTTCCTAAATGCCTTGTATTTAAGTGCATAAACAAATGGATTTGCCATCATATTTATAAAACAAAGAAAGATTGTAATTGAGTGAACAAAACCGTTCAGTTCACAATAGGGCTTATCACATGGTATCACTGCCAAAAAGAGATACAAAATCTGGTTAGGAGTCCAACAGACGAGGAAAATAACAGACACAGTAATAGACGTAATAATAACGTTACGTTGAGCAGTATTTCGATTACGTGTAACAATGTAACTGTTTTTCGCTATTTTTGTTGGCATTCTAGGCTTTCCAAGTGCGCATGCAATCCGTCCGTATGCAAATCCAAGAATGAGTAATGGTAACACACATTCAAATGTAAATACTGTAGATCCTATTATAACTTCAACAGTTTTATATGACCAATTGTACGTACATTTGTTGTTCTCATCCAGTGTTCCAAAATATGCTAAATTTGACTCGCATGTAACACCATAGATCCAGATACACACAAAGACATAACGCAAAGTTTTCTTTTTGAAGTGATATCTGTACCTTATCGGATAAATGACAGCATAGTAGCGCTCCAACGCAAGACCCAAAAGGTTGCCCTTTGATGCCGCCGTTAAAATCCAATAGAGGGATCTACATTTACAAAAAACTATGCCGTTTACGCCAGTTGGTTGAAATCCATACAGTGGACAAACATAAAAAAATAGAAACAATATTGAGCTAATGAAATCAATGAAAGATTGGTGAACGATTAGCATATTGGTCATTGTCTGAAATGATGGTACGCGTAGATATACCAGAAGTACAATTCCGTTCATTAAAATTCCCAGAAAGCAGATCACGGTGTGCAGACAAAGCTGGATTAGGTGTCCAATGATAGCGTACGAGAACATTAAGCTAATCCAGAGTGCATAAAAAATCTGAGCGTATGCAGTCATCTTGTGAAATCAAAAGTGTTTTTTTTTTTTTGGATCTGTGTTCTCTGTAACTCAACGAGAAAATATATAACTGGAAACAGGAGAGCGGGCGTAGAAAGGAGCTTCATGTGAAAAACACTGCATATTAATGTTCCGTCCAACAAAGACTTTGACCCGTTTATCCAACATTTTTATTATCGCAAGCCTCGGGAATAGATACAAATCAAAAATGTATTTGAGTTATTTCTATAAGTTTTCTACATAAGCGTAAACTGCTTTGGTGAGATAAGCTTGCAGAAGATTCACTCAACATGCAATAAACACAGTTTTGATATGTTTTAGCTTAAATAGATTAAGCTGAGCTCAATTGGCTGTAGCGTGATTGGTTTAAAACCAATGAACATCCATATTCAATGGATTATTCTATTTTTTAATAGGGATGTTAC